ACAAGACAATCCTAAGCAAAAAGAACAAAGCCGGAGGCATCATGCTATCTGACTTCAAACTATACTACAAGACTACAGAAACCAAAACAGCATGGTACTGGCACCAAAACAGATATATAGACCAATGGAACAGAGCAGAGGCCTCAGAAATAACACCACACATTTACAACCATCTGATCTTTGGCAAACCGAACAAAAACAAGCAATGGGGAAAGGATTCCCTGTTTAATAAATAGTGATAGGAAAACTGGCTAGCTATATGCAGAAAGCTGAAACTGGATCCCTTCCTTACACCTTATACAAAAATTATCTCAAGATGGATTAAACACTTAAATCTGAGACTAAAATCATAAAAATCCTGCAAGAAAAGCTAGGCAGTACAATTCAGGACAGGAATGGACAAGAACTTCATGACTAAAACACCAAAAGCAATGGCAACAAAAGCCAAAATCGGCAAATGGGATCTAATTAAACTAAAGAGCTTCTGCACAGAAAAAGAAACTATCATCAGAGTGAACAGTCAATCTACAGAATGGGGGAAAATGTTTATAATCTGTCTATCTGGCAAAGGTTTAGTATCCAGAATCTACAAATAACTTAAACAAATTTACAAGAAAAAAACAGCCCCATCAAAAAGAGGGTGAAGGATATGAACAGACACTTCTCAAAAGAAGACATTTATGCAGTCAACAAACATGAAAAAAACCTCATCATCACTGGCCATTAGAGAAATGCAAATCAAAACCACAATGAGATACCATCTCTCACCAGTTAGAATGGTGATTATTAAAAAGTCAGGAAACAACAGATGCTTCAGAGGATGTGGAGAAGTAGGAACACTTTTACACTGTTGATGGGAGTGTAAATTAGTTCAACCATTGTGGAAGACAGTGTGGCAACTCCTCAAGGATCTAGAACTAGAAATACCATTTGACCCAGCAATTCCATTACTGGGTATATACCCAAAGGACTATAAATCATTCTGCTATAAAGACACATGCACATGTATGTTTATTGCAGCACTGTTCACAATAACAAATACTTAGAACCAGCCCAAATGTTCATCAGTGATAGATTGGATAAAGAAAATGTAGCGCATATACACAATGGAATACTATGCAGCCATAAAAAAGACAAGTTCATGTCCTTTGCAGGAACAGGGTGAAGCTAGAAACCATCATTGTCAATAAACTAACACAAGAACAGAAAACCAAACACTGCATGTTCTCATTCTTTTGTGGGAACTGAACAATGAGAACACATGGACACAGGGAGGGGAACATCATACACCAGGGCCTGTTGGGAGTTAGGGGTCTAGGGGAGGGACAGCACTAGGAGAAATACGTAATGTAGATGATGGGTTGATGAGTGCAGCAAACCACCATGGCATGTATATACCTATGTAACAAACCTGCACATTCTGCACATGTACCCCAGAACTTAAAGTATAATTTTTAAAAATGCAAAATTCTTTGTGAAGTCTCAACAATAGAATTGAATAGGTAGAAGAAAGAAATTCAGAGCTCAGCTGAAAGACAAGGTCTTCAAATTAATCCAATTCAACAAAGCCAAAGAAAATAATAAGAAAATATCAACAAAGTCTCCAAGGAATTTGAGATAACGTTAAACAACTAAACCTAAGAATAATTGGTGTTCCCATGGAAAAAGATAAACCTTAAATTCTGGCAAACATATTTGAGAGAATAATCAAGGAAAACTTTCCTGCCCTTGCTAGAGATCTAGACATCCAAATACAAAAAGATCAAAGATAATCCGGAAAATTTATTGCAAAAAGATCATTGTCTAGGCACATAGTCATTAGTTTATCTAAAGTCAAGATGAAGGAAATAATCTTAAGAGCTATGATGCAAAAGCATCAAGTAACCTATAAAGGAAAACCTATCAGATTAACAGCAGATTTCTCAGCAGAAACTCTACAAGCTAGCAGGGATTAGGGCCCTATCTTCAGCTTCCTCAAACAAAGCAATTATCAGCCAAGAATTTTGTATCCAGCAAAACTGAGCATCATATATGAAGGAAAGATAGTCTTCTTCGGACAAACAAATGCTGAGAGAATTTAACACTACCAAGCCAGCACTACAAGAACTGCTAAAAGAAGCTCTAAATTTTGAAACAAATCCTGGAAACACATCAATACAGAACCTCTTTAAAGCATAAATCACACCAGGACTTAGAAAACAAAAATACAAGTTAAAAAAACAAAACAAAACAAAAAACATACACAGGCAACAAATAGCACAATGAATGCAACAGTACCTCACATCTCGATACTAACATTAAATGCAAATGACCTAAATGCTCCACTTAAAATACACAAAACCACAGAATGGAAAGAACTCACCAACCAACTAATCTGCTTACTTCAGGAGGCTCACCTAGCACATAAGAGCTCCCATAAACATAAAGTAAAGGGGTGAAAAAAGGCATTTCATGCAAATGAACACCAAAAACCAGGAGGGGTAGCTATTCTTATGTCAGACAAAACAAACCTTAAAGCAACAGCAGTAAAAGACACAAAGGGACATTATATAATGGTAAAAGGCTTTGTCTAACAGGAAAATATCACAATCCTAAATATATATGCACACACACATATATAGTATGTTACCATTTGTGTAAAGAAGAGAAGAGAAGATAGATACTAAAATATATAACATATCTGTGTATATTCTTGTATATACTATTTCCAGAAGGATAAAATAATTAATAACATTAGTTTTGTTTCTTTTTTTTCTTTCTTTTTTGTTTTGTTTTGTTTTTGAGATAGGGTCTTGCTCTTTCAACCAGGCTGGAGTATGGTGGCACAATCACAGCTTGCTGTAGCTTTGACGTCCTGGGATCAAGTGATCTTCCTGTCTGAGTAAGTGGGACTACAGGTGTGCACCACCACGCTTAGCTAATTTTTGTATTTTTGGAAGAGACAGGATTTCACCATATTACCCAGCCTGGTCTCAAACATTTGGGCTCAAGCAATCTTCCCACCTCAGCCTTCCAAAATTCTGAGATTACAGGCATGACCCACCACACCCAGCCAATAAAATCGGATTCCTATGGAGAGAGGAAATGGGCTATTGGTGAACAACAGTAGTAGGAGGAAGGGTTTTCACTGCATATACTTTACCTTTTGAATTTTGAACATATTCAAAAAATGTTAAATTAAATAGTAAACCATGCAGCATGAAATAAATGCTAAACAAAAGTACAAGCAGCATAATACAAACTGGCAGCTATAAAACCATATGATAGATTTTTCCATCTCTTCATCAAGGAAATAATGGGAGACTTTGTCAAATGCCTTGGTGAAATAATCACCATATCTCACATGTCTATTTTAGAAAGTACTTGCACCAAAGAAACAAAAATGTACTTAAGCAATATTCATTCATTGAATAGGCACTTACTGAGTGCTTGTTGCATGGTAGTACATTGCAACAAGTTGTACTTCTTTATATTTCTACCATTTTAAATGGCATATTTAAGATGGTAGAAATATAAAGAAGGCCAAAACAGTTGGGATTTCAATTCCATGGAGTTTGCATTCTAGTGGGAAAGAGACCAGACTATCAACAAAGTCACTGCAATATGATATTTAGATATTAACAAAGGTTTTTAATGAAAATAATAAGTTTTTATGGCTACATCTGGGTAACTTCTTAAGACCAGGTGCTCACAACTTGGTCTTCTGAAGAAGTGAATGTCCACATGGAGTCCTGACTGTTGAGATTCTACACTATCTATGACATTTCCTTAGTCCACTGGTCTAACAAATAACCAAGAGATTAAAAAAAATACTAATTTGGCATGACCTGAGAAACTTATGTTAAGAATGAATCATCACCGCTTTTGTGTTTCCAATTATTCACAAATAGTCATTTTGAATTACTTCAGTTCAAGGTCAAGCTTATTAGCCAGCTGTTTCTTTTATCCTTTCTTTTTGAAAATTGGAATACTCCAATTTTCTATATTTAGCTATTTTTTTAGCTATATTTTTTTGGCATTAAAATTTTTTTATTTTTAATTTTTGTGGATACATAGTAGGTATATATATTTATGGAATATATGAGATATTTTGATACAAGCCTACAATGCATAATAATTACATCATATCAGGGTAAATGGGGTATCCATCACCTCAAGCATTTATCCTTTCTTTGTATTATCCTCTCCAGGGTTCTGAAAACTCTCATGCTCCACGATTTCTGAGATTACCAACTATGGTTCTTTGATTACGGCTATGAAATAAGAGCTGCCTATGACTTTCGATCTGGGCTCTTGTAAAGGCCAAAATGCTTTTCTCCAGATCTCTCTTGGACCTGAATTCTTTTTCACTGATTCTTTAGTTTATCCTTCTTGTTTGAAAATCGTTCTCCTTGGGGAAAAAAAAAAAAAATCTAAGCAAAATTCAAGTTGGGAGGCACTGCCTTTCCTCTCTTATTTGTTAAACATGACATTGTCTATCCCAAGAAGGTTTAGCCCTTTGTGATGCAAGTGGAGCCGGGAAAGTCCTTTTGGCTGTTTTGAACAAACATATTATGGTGTAAGAGTTGATTTTCTAAGAAATAAGCTCTCATCAGTTCTTTTCTAAGGGATTTCCTTTTAACCTTTTGAGGAAAGTTTGATCATCTCACAACTCTGATAATCTGCGTTAACAGATCACTCATTGTCAGATCATTGTTTAGCATGATCACATATGCAACCCCCAGCCCAAACTCATATAAAAAAATAAAATTCATCAAAAAGGGAAGCCAATCTATCTGTCATTTTATTCACTCCAGTGGCCTTGTGTAACTTTTTCCTAATTACAACGAAATGCCTGGTGGGCACAATATGTCTCTAGAAATTTTTTTTTTTTTGTCTTTTTTTGATCATGGGTATTGTTGGTTGAAACAAAGCACTGTGATCTTTCTGTTTCTCTGTGGAGCTTGCTTGCCTTCTGATTTGATACTTTATTAAGATAAAAGGCGAACAGATTTTCCTTCATTTTTTCTTCTTACACAGAAGTTCAAACACAGAAGTTCACAAGTCATACCCAGAAGGATAATATATTTGACCTCAGGGAAGTGTTCAGGCCTAAAGCATGTGTACTCTTTTTCTGCTGGCTCTCTCTGGGTCTTTGCAGATGACCATCTGAGTACAGGAAAGGGATAAAAAAAAAAACTCACATGAAAATAGGCTTTTTAAAATCGAGCTAAAATTAACTGAAGGGACCACCTGAACAGACCGTCAGAAAATAATAAAGCTGCCTTTCCTCATGATCTCTCAGCATGAAGAAAGAACTTTAGCAAAAAGAACAATAGGGCCACCCATTCCACCTCTGAGAGTGTAACCCCCAAGCCCACTGCAAATGCACAGACCAAAGCTATCTCCCATTCTGTTTGTCAGCTGGTTTGCCAATCACCCCAGTTCAAGCTCTCTATTCTCCCTCTCTTTTAATACAAGTAATTTTCAAGACTCTAAAATTTTCACAGAAAGAAGTTCATTGCTGAGTACTTTGATTCACCATACCAGCGTCAAAGAGATGAAGTTGTACAGATTTCACTCACATATGAACAAAAATTTAATGTAAACCTCAAAGCTAACACTATTTACTGACTTTCTTTCTCTGGAAATTTTTTACCAAAGAGAGATGCTATCCAGTAAAATAAATTTGCCTTTTAGCTTGATTTTTTTGGGAGATGAATTTGTCTTTTTAAGTTTTTCTCTCATCACAGTAGATTCTTTATTCTTTTTTGCATGCTTCCTTGCTCGTTTCCTTCTTCCTTGTTTTTTTTTTTTTTCACTTTGGGTGTCTTTGTTGAGGACGATCTAAGCAGTACTAGTCATGTACCACACAAAAACAAAGGGTGACCCCGTTAATCCAACTTGAGCGCCCTGAGTCCTTTCATTTCCTAATAAATCACATGTATTTTTTCCTAATCCATATTTTGATTCCACTAAAACATCTCTGTGTATTCTGAAGAGGAAGATATAAATGGCAAAATTAAGGCCTTTGAAGAAAAGTAAAAAGAAATATTTCCAAATGAAAAAACAGTCAAAAGTGGCCAGGCACCCATGGCTCACACCTGTAATCCCAGCACTTTGGGAGGCTGAGGTGGGCAGATCACCTGAGGTCAGGAATTCAAGACCAGCCTGGCCAACACGGTAAAACCCTGTCTCTACCAAAAATACAAAAATTAGCTGGGAGTGGTTGCAAGCGCCTGTAATCCCAGCTACTTGAGAGGCTGAGGCAAGGAGAATTGCTTGAACCCGGGAAGCAGAGGTTGTAGTGAGCTGAGATCATGCCACTGGACTCCAGCCTGGGTGACAGAACAAGACTCCCATCTTAAAAAAAAATTGTCAAAAGTTTGGATGACAAATAAATGACTAGGATGAGAACAGATACTGCAATCCATCTTAATTCAAAGAATACTCAGAAGAATCAAATCTACTCAAGCATGTCATTGTAAAATGAAGCCATACACTTAGCGAGGAGTTGCAGAATTAGCTTTTAGTTATATTACAGTGCATTTAAGTCATCTTAAAAGAAAACAAATACAGGTTTGTATTTTCAGTTTAGTTTTTAAAAAGTCATTAAAATTATACTTTAGGGACCATGTTGTCAGTTGGTATACCTTTATCATAGGATATAATATCTTTGTGGGTCAGGTCATTTTTATTTCTCCTCTTAACTCCAGTACCTGGCAAAGGTCTGGTAATACAGTAGAAAAACAGCAAATATGTAATTGTGTTGAAACTGTGCCACTTCAAGTCCGAGGTGCAGTGGCTCATGCCTGTAATCCCAGAACTTTAGGAGGCTGAAGTGGGCAGATCACTCGAGGTCAGGAGTTCAAGACCAGCCTGGTCAACAAAAAATACAAAAATTAACCAGGTTTGGTATTGTGAGCCTTTAATCCCAGCTACTAGAGAGGCTGAGGTGGGAGAATCACTGGAACCCAGAAATAGTGAACCGAGATCATGCCACTGAACTGTAGCCTGGGCAACAGAGGGAAACTCTTGTCTCAAAAAAAAAAAAAAAAAAAAAAAAAAAAAAACAAAAAACTATGCCACATCTCCTACTTAATATAAGAGTCTGCTCTCTAAATGTAATCTGGCTGCTGAATGTTTCCAAATCTTTTAGCCTTGAGGATACAAATGGGAGGGGGCTGCTCTTTGAACTTAAACGTAAGTGGTTCAAGCCCCCATCACAGGCATTGCAAGCCCAGTGCCCCCTCTCACGCTGATTTTTAGAACCCCAGTCCTTTGGAATGAGTGGCACTTCCTGTTTTATGGCTGCTTTCTTCACTCCGTATTATGGCAAAAGGTGAAACAGCCAGTTTGGTTGGATTTCTCTCAAAGATGACTTTCAGTAGATATTTATAAATAGCATTTTTACTGTTGTTCAAAGTAGTGATGGAGAAGAGCTTTAGAGGGGGATATATTGCAGTGCACCACTGCCAACAAATTAAAACACAAGCTTAACACATTCCAAGCCTTTCCCACCCCTGCACTGGCTATCTCCTATCTTCACATGGTTCCTCTCCATCCACACCTTAACCGTACTTCTTTCTAGACCCCTCAGCTGTTCTCTCTGGCTGTGTCCACCACCACCATTGCCTTCCAGGAAGCTCAGAGTTCTTATGTACCTTCTTTTCTATTATTTATTTTTAATTTTTAAGAGACAGGCTCTTGCTCTATCACTCAGGGTGAAGTGCAGTTGCACAATCATGGCTCGGTGCAGCCTCCATTCCTGGGCTCAAGTGATCTTCTCACTTCCGCCTCCCATGTAGCTGGTAGTTACAGGCACACAGAATCACACCTGCTAATTTTATTTTTATTTTTATTTTTTACTGAGAAAAGGGGTCTCACTATGTTTCCCAGGCTAGTCTTAAACTCCTGGTATCAAGAGATCCTCCTACCTCTGCCTCCCAAAGTGCTGGGATTACAGACGTGAGCCATGGCACCTGGCCTCTTACATACTTTCAAATGCAGAACAGTTCACCTCTTTCTTTCTCTGACCTCTTCTTAATCTAGGCCTGCAACGTCCAGTACAGTAGCCATTTGCCACATATGACTACTAAACACTGCTTGAAAAGTGGCTAATCCAAACTGAGATGTATGTAAAACGCACACCATATTTTGAATATTTAGTCTTCAAATAAGTAATAAAACATCTGATTAATAATGTTAATATTAATTATATGCTAAATGATAATGTACTTTATTAAGTATATTGAATAATAGGTTAAATAAGATGATAATATATTGCATTAAATTAAAAGCATTATTTAAATGGGTCTCACCTGCTTTTTACTTTTTAAATGTAACTGCTAGAAAATTTAAACTTACGTGTGTGGCTTGCAATGTTTCTTTCAGAGAGTGCTGGTCTAGACCCCAGGGTCTCAGCCTTCCACAGCAAGCCAGACCCATTAAGGTGGTTTGTAAAACAAATTGCCATTTCTAACCCTAGAGATGAACTATGCAACTCCAAGAAGAGCAAGGTTACAGCGAGTGTTTGCTTTGAATATTGACTATTTATTTTCTTCTATAGACTATTTCAACTACCCTTCATGAAAATGTGTTTTAATGCTGAACTGAGCTGGCCAAGGCCACATTCTGAATGAGATGCTGCGTTCTCATTAGCAAGGACTTAAGGATGTGTTGTAGATGAAATAGTTATGTTATGGAAAGAGAACTAAATATGGTTTACTCTTCAACATAATTCAGCATAATCTCACCTTTCTGTACGCTCCAAAATACCCTATAATTTTTAAACAGTGGTACAGTGTATTTTCATTTAACTTCTATTCTCATTTTGAGAAAATGTTGAAAATATTCAACTAACTGCAATTAAAAGTACTGTATCTATTTCGGCTCAATGTGGCTCTTTGGTTTGGATAGGTATTTTTGTGCTGTGGTGAAAAGCAGGGTTTAGGAATTCGTCTTTATTCTAATCCCAACTACCTGAGCAGGGCTGATTTCTCCACGAGGCACAATAGGCTCATGCCTACAGCCCACAACAGTGTTTCCATTTTATTTTTGTAATCAGAGGAAAAAATGAATACAAATAAATCTAGCCTGGATTATTTTCATCCTTACATCAATGCATTCATAAAACATATGTATGTGTGTGTATATATATATATATATATATATATATATATATATATATTTTCCATTTTAAAATCTGATTATTAGGTTTTTTGCTATTGAGTTGTTTGAATTACTTACATATTCTGCTTATTAATCCATTATTAAAGGATAGTTTGCAAATATTTTCTCCCATTCTCTAGGTTGTCTTTTCAACATAATTAGACAAAATCTAACTCTATATATATACAGAGAGAGAGAGAGAGAGAGAGAGAGAGAGAGAGAGAGATTGTCTCACTCTACCTCTAGGCTGGAGTGCAGTGGTGCAATCACGTCTCATTGCAGCCTCAACCTCCCAGGCCTCAGGTAATCCTCTCATCTCAGCCTCTCAGCCTCTCAAGTAGTTGGGAGTACAAGGGCACCACCACCATACCAGGCTACTTTTTGCTTCTTCTTTTTTTTTTTTCTGTAGAGATAGGATTTTGCCATGTTGCCCAGGCTGGTCTCAAACTCCTGGGGCTCAAGTGATCTGCCTGGCTCAGCCTTCCAAAGTGCTGGGATTACAGCAATGAGCCACCATGCCTGGCCTTAAATATCTTTCTAATGGAGAAGGAGGGCACTTGAAGGTAAAGTGCCTGGGCCCCAAAAGCCAAGATGAATCCCTGTAGCAGAGTGGCCTTGAATGTGTTTTTAATCTGAGTGTTGGCTTAACCATCTGTAAGTGAAGATAATAATGGTACTTACATTACTGACAAGGCATAAAGATATTCTCCAAGATCTGGTTCCCTTTCCTTCTGGGTACTTCCAAGGACTGCAGTTCCCTACTTTTGTTGTTAGTCATGGCCATGTGACTTGTCCAGGCTAATGAGATATGAGCGGCTTTGAAGTGTATCACTTCCAGGTGGGAGTATTTAAGCACAGGTGTTTGATACTCCATCACTCTCGTCCCCAGCCTTGGTGATCATGGCAGGTTACACTGATAGGAACATGATATGATTGAAGCAGGCTGGAATTCTGAGCTGAAACAGAGTTTATAAAGCATTTCATTCCTATAAGAATCCACCACTTCCCTGCAGAGTTATCTTGGACCTCCAACAAACTTTATGTAAACAAGAAATGGGCATTTGGTATGCTAAACCACCAGAATTTGAGGGTTATTTATTACTGCAGCATACTTAGGTGAACCTAGTTGACACAACAGGGCTGTACTCGTGATTAAATAAGATCATTATATTAAAAAGCACTTACATTATCATCATCATTAGGTGGTATCTAATAATATAGTACAAAATAATAATAGTTATCAAGCTCTTTACACATAATTTGAGCTTAATAAATGGTTGCGTTTATTATTGTTGTTACTATTTTGCTCCTCCATGTCACAGGCTGCTCTTGACTGACTCTTATTTCCATTGTTAGGGAGTTTATTGCAATGACAGGAATATCTTAATCTCTTCGTACTGAATATATGTCAATAGGTGTATTTCAGTGGGTCTGGCTTTGTTCCAGTATAGCCTGCCAAAAGTTAGTTGGAATTATCCTCTATTTATGACCCACAGCAATCTCTCTCTCTCTCTCTCTCTCTCTCTCTCTCTCTCTCTCTCTCTCTCTTTCCACCACCCCCCACTCCAGTCCTGGCTGTATGTCCCAGTCCACTCTTTCTTTGGGTGTTTCTACCTTTGTTTTTTGACTTGTGATGATTGGATGTTTCCTCCATTCCTTTCTGACAGAAGGAGTAACTGCTAAGTAGAATCCAAATTAAAAAGCATCCCCCATTAAGCACAAAACAAGAATTCCATGCCATTGCTCTCAGGGTTTCACAGGTTTTCATTTAACAATTTTACACTCACCATCATATGGGGTATGTATGCTCAATCTAAGCAAGAGAGATGGTAGTAATGTCAAAAAAAGAAAAAAGGGAAAAAGTGAGAGAGAGAAGGAAGAAGGAAGAAATTTAAAGTGGGGGGAATTGCATTTTTGAATCTTTATGTATCAGTTGTTGAATCAGTATTATATATACATTATCTTTTTTTCTTTCTTTGTGTGTGTGTGTGTGTGTGTATGTGTGTGTAGAGACAAAGTTTCACTATGTTATCCAGACTGCTCTTGAACTCCTAGCCTCAAGCAATCCTCTCACCTCAGCTTCCCAAAGTGCTGGGATTACAGGCATGAACCACCATGCCTGGCCTTCATTATCTATTTCTGAATAGATAACTTCAATGGGTAACTCTAGACAATTCCTAGAACTGTTGGTTAGACCTCTAAGTATCATAAATTACAGCAAAGACATGTGAAAGAGCCATTTGCCAGTGGTTGTCAAAAGTGACATGTGCCAACAGAGGATACAGAGAAACTTAAACTCTTATGCATTGCTGGGGGGAATGCAAAATGGTATAGACACTGTGGAAAACAGTTTGGCATTTCTCAAAAAAGTAAGCATTGCATTACTATAAGAATCCAGCAATTCTACCTCTGAATATACCCAAAATAACTGAAAGCAAGGACTCAAACAGACACTTGTACAACAGTGTTCGTAGCAGCGTTGTTCACAACAGCCAAAAGACAGAAACAACTCAAATGCCCTTTCACAAATGAAGGGACCAACAAAATCTGGTATATACATACAATAGAATATTATTCAGCCTTAAAACGACATAAAATTCTAGTGCATTATACAATGTGAATGAACCCTGAAAGTGTTATCTTAAATGAAATAAGGACATCACAAAAGACAAATATCATATGATAAGTAGTGAAATTCATGGAGACAGAAAATAGACTGGTGGCTGCCAGGAGCTGAAGAGAGAGGGGAATGAAGAATTTTTTAAAGTAGCAGTCCCAGTTTTGTAAGATAAACAAAGTTCTGGAGATGAATGGTGGTGATATTTGTATAACAATGTGAATGTAGTTAATTTCACTGAACTGTACACTTGAAATGGTTCTGCACAGCAAAGAAAACAGTCAACAGAGTGAAGAGACAACCTAGAGAATGTAGAAAATATTTGCAAATTATACTTCAATAAGAAATTAATAACCAGAATATATAAGAAACTCAACTCAATAGTAAATAAAAACTAATAATTAAATTTTAAAACGGGTAAATGATATGAATAGACATTTCTCAAAAGAAGACATACAAATGGATAACAGGCATATAAAAAATGTTCAACATTACTAATTATGAAGAAATGCAAATCAAAACTGCGATGAGATATTATCTTGCCCCAATTAAAATGGCTGTTTTCTACACATTCATCTCCTAAGCACATGGATCATTCTCAAGAAACATAGGCCATATGTTAAGCCACAAAACAAGTCTTTAAACATTTTTTAAAACTAAAATAATATCAAGTTTCCTCTCTGATCACAATGGAATAAGACTAGAAATCAATAACAGGAGGAATTTTGGAAACTATACAAACTCATGGGAATTAAGCAATGCACTCCAGAATGACCAGTGGGTCAATGAAGAAATTAAGAAAAATTTAAAACTTAATGAAAATGGAAATATGACATATTAAAATCTATGGGATACTGTGAAAAATCTGTACTGAGGAAAGTTTATAGTAATAAGTACCTACATCAAAAAAGCAGAAAAACTTCAAATAAACAACCTAATGATGCATCTTAAAGAACTAGGAAAGTAAGAGCAAACCAAACCCAAAGTCAGCAGAAGAAAATAAATAATAAAGATCAGAACAGAAATAAATGAAATTGAAAAAAATACAACAGATCAACAAAATGAAAAGTTGTTTTCTTAAAAAAAAAAAAATTAAATCGACAAACCTTTAGCCAGACTAAGGAAAAAAAAGAGACAAGACCCAAATAAATAAATCTGAGATAACAAAAAGTGGGACATTACAACTGATACTGCAGAAATTCAAAGGATCATTAAAGGCTGCTATGAGCAATTATATGCTGATAAATTGGAAAACCTAGAAGAAATGGATAAATTTCTAGAAACATAAACTTACCAAGAATGAACCGTGAAGCAATCCAAAACCTGAAAAAACCAATACCAAATAATGTAATCGAAGGCATAATAAAAAGTCTCCCCAGGGGGGACAAAAGGCCCAGGCTCCAGTGGCTTCAACTGCTGATTTTTATCAAATATTTAAAGAAGAACGAATACAAATCCTACTTAAACTATTCTGAAAAATGGAGGAGGAAATACTTCTAAACTCATTCTGTGAGGCCAGTATTACCCTGATATCAAAACCAAACAAGGACAAGAAAAGAAAACTACAAGACAACATTCCTGATGAACACTGATATAAAAATCCCCAACAAAATACTGGCTAACTGAACTTAACAATTATTCATCATGACCAAATCTTTTCATGATAAAAACCTTCAAAAAACTGGGTACAGAAGGAACATACTTCAACACAATAAAAGCCATATATTACAGACCCATACCTAGTATCATACTGAATGGAGAAAAACTGAAAGCCTTTTCTCTAAGATCTGAAACAAAGCAAGAATGCCCACTCTTATCACTGTTATTCAACATAGCAGTCGAAGTCCTAGCTAGAGTAATCACATAAAAGAAAGAAATAAAAGACATGCAAACTGGAAAGTAAGAAGTCAAATTATGCTTTTTGCACATGATCTTATATTTGGAAAAGCCTAAAGACTCCAGCAAAAAATTATTAGTACTGATAAATACATTCAGTAAAGTTGCAAGATACAAGATCAACATACAAAATCATCAGCATTTCTATAGGCCAACAATGAACAATCTGGAAAATAAATTAATTCATTCCACTTACAATAGCTACAAATACTTTTTTGGTTTATACTTAGGAATTAACCCAAAAAGTGAAATACCTTTGCAATAAAAACTTTAAAACATTGATGCTAAATTGAAGACGACATCAAAAAAAATGGAAATATAGTCCACGTTCATGGATTAGAATCAATATTGTTAAAATGTCCACACTACTCAAAGCAATCTACAGATTCAATGCAATCCCTATCAAAATAACAATAATAGGTTGGGCACAGTGGCTCATGCCTGTAATCCAACACTTTGGGAGGCTGAGGTGGGCAGATCATGAGGTCAGGAGTTCAAGACCAGCCTGGCCAATATGATGAAACCTTGTCTCTACTAAAAATACAAAAATTAGCCAGCCATGGTGGTGGGCACCTGTAGTCCCAGCTACTCAGGAGGCTGAGACAGGAGAATTGGTTGAACCCAGGAAATGGAGGTTGCAATGAGCCAAGATCGTGCCACTGCACTTCAACCTGGGCAACAGAGCGAGACTCCATCCCCCAGAAAAAAAAAAAATTTAAAAAGTACCAATAATATTCTTCACAAAAATGGAAAAACTAATCCTAAAATTTATATTGAGCCATTAAAGGCCCAGAATAGCAAAAGCTATCCTGATGGGAAGAAAGAAAACACAGAAGGAATTATATTACCTAACTTCAAATTATACTACAGAAATACAGTAACAAAACAGCATGGAACTGGCATAAAAACAGACACACTGACCAGTAGAACATAATAAAGAACCCAGAAATACATCCATACATCTATAATGAACTCATTTTTAACAAAAGTGGGGAAAGTATTTTCTATAAATGACTCTAGGAAAACCAGATATCCATAGATATTCACATGCAGAAGAATGAAACTAGACTCATATCTCATACCATATTCAAAAATAAATGCAAAATGGATTAAATACCTAAATCTAAGATCTCAGCCTAAGAAACTACTACAAGGAACTGAGGAGAAACTCTCCAGGACATTGCCGTTTCCCTAAAATTTTAGTCCTAAAAGCACAGGCAACCAAAGCAAAAATGGACAAATGGGATCACACCAAATTACAAAGTTTCTGTGCAGCAAAAGAAATAAGCAACAAAGTGAAGAGACGGTCCATAGAATGGTAGAAAATATTTGAAAACTGGCAAGGAATTCTGACAAGGAATTATAACCAGAATATATAAGGACCTCAAACAACTCAATCGGAAAAAAAAAATCTAATAACCTGAATGAAAAATAAGCAAAAGA